AACCAAAACCCTGAGACCGTCGTTATCTCGAAGCCGATACACAATATGCCAACGCCAATGACTGTTCTCTTGACGCGAAAGCCCTTGCCAGTAAAGGAAGAAAAGCTGTTCTAATCTTTTTCGGTGACTGCATTGTGGGTTCGGGTCACTTTGCGCGGACATCAACCACTTTCATAGGCTTAAATGAGGAAAATATCGTTCAAGCCTACCTAAACCGTTCGATGAACTGCTCCGGGGCGTCATTCGCAACTCTCAGACACGTCGACCTACCTAAGAATGTCTTTGGCAGATCTGAGTCAAAGCTCTTCATGTTTGTTATGAGCGTGTGCATTGGATCACACATTAAGTACATGCAAATCTGGAAACTATGGCTACAACGTGATCATTTACAAAGAATGATTATCAAGAATATCAAATGACTGTACTCTAATACCAATGTGGAAAGACTGCGATCACTGGGGTTACACAACACTCAGCATCGTCGAATTTTGGCGGACGTGACTGCGGTTTATCGTTTACAACAGAACCCCCAATCACTCGTCTCCTCCGCTGCTCACGTTGTTTTTCATTTTGCTCAGGGAACAATCAATCAAGTAACTTAAGAGGTCTTCCAGGGAAATATCTGCTACATTTGGGAAACATTTGTTGAGAATACATGTATAAAGCTGGAATAAGCCCAAAACCGAAATAAATACTTACTCGTTACCCGTTAATTTTGACAAACACTCGGTCACCTTTGGATCCACGCTATCATGCATGGCGTGTTGCTCGCCAGTTACCATGTTGTTCTCCGTCCCGTAACCATTGTATATATCCACCTTTCTCGAGCATTCCACGTCCTGGAGAGCAAGCCAACCATACGCCTTCTGAACGAGACGAGTGAAGGGACTGTGGAAACAGAGAAAGTCCACTGGGAGCAGGCGGTTCTCTGCGGTACAGTTCGAATGGGCTGTGACCAAGACGTTGGAGAAGCCTGTGAGTAAGGAACGGTGTATTTCGTCATTACAGCATACAGACACGGACGACCAAGTATTCAAAAGAGGCTTTCGAGTGTGATCTCAGTGCTCATGAAATAACTAAGGGGACGACAAATTGCGAACATTATTCTTCGACTGAATGATTGGAAATATCGTTCCTTGTTCTGAAGCCTGCTAGCAAATGAGTAGGCTGAACAACCACCAGTCGAATCGACAATGAGAACAGTTTTACTATTAATATTATTATTTATTTATCTATACATTGTTGATTATTTAATACCATTATTGTTAATATTATCATTATTACTCGGTATTAACTCCACACAGGTTAATAACATTTTTTACACTCGGGTAACTAGTTCTTTAATGGGGATAACTTGGCTTACTGGTGGAAACCCGGAAGATTTCTAGGAGTATGTTGGCCGAGTGGTAACGTGAGCAAGTTATCGCTTTCGATCACCTGTGTTCGATTCCTACCANGTCTATTCTGCGTTGTAGGTCAACCCTTTGATTGGTCGCTTCCCCTTCTGAAAATTGTATCACTATCTATTCAATAAAAGGAAATAATATGAAAAAGAAAAAAGATATTCTCAGTGCGTCTTTTGCTCCTGCATACTCAAGTGCTACCTTTGGGGTAACAGGGTGATACCAATGGTATTATGGTAATTTTATTCTCTTATGTTTATTGAATACATAATTGCATAGATACGTTTCAGGAGGTAGACTGTAGTCAGTCAATTCAAGACCTTTTGAAGAAAAATCAGAAAGTGGATAATAATTAGTGGGGGATTATAGTTTGCAGTTTGAAGGCGCATCCTTGAACACAACTATGTTCGTTTTTGTTGTTTGTTTCTTTGTTTTTTGTTGCAGGGCGACCGCTTGCTAGGCGAAATCCCGTCACGTTCCCGGATTTCGCGGCTGATCATACGCTGCCGATCATGCAGTGAAGCACGTGTTTATGGTTAAACACTGACCTCCTATCCGTGGCCCAGAAACGCGACCGGTAGAGTACAGATTTAATGGTCCTAAACCCTTAGTACCCTCCGACCTCTGACCATCCAGTTGATCGACAAATGGATGAAATATTATTGCAAAATGCGGGAACATTTGAAGTGCACGAGTGCCACTGTTTGCGACATTCAACCTCGTCTCTCTAACCATTGATTACGCTGATCAAGAGATCCCAACGATAACACCTAACACAAACCATATGATCAGGGTTTGCTTAAGCTCAGCCCAAGTTGGGGCTTGATAATCCTTGACTTTAGACCAAAAACTGTCCGTCTCAGTAAACATTGCACGCCGAAGAAGCGTAACACACATACAGCCAAGCCATGACAATCTACGGAGGTAAATTACTTGCATTAGTACACGACCAAGGTTACGTAATATGCATCATACAACCCTGCCATTGCTTGCACGGTTAGCTGACCAACGGTGGGAATGTCTAAGTTACAGAATTTGACGAAAGGTGAAAAAATCGTCGATAAATCTTCGACCAGCTTTAAAACCAGCCTGATTCTTACACGTGAATAACTAGGGTGAGGCCCATAATTAACGACGTGGAATAGTAGTCCGAAAGTTTAAGGTGGTGTTACTCAAACTAATTTCCAGGTGGATGTTTTTTTGTTAATCGTCGGGATAACCAGTTAACATCATTCAAGCGAAACTTGTATACTTTGATATACAGCGAACATGGGTTTTGCCAAGAGATACAACAATGTTGAACCATCATCCTTAAAAGAGTCAAAAGACCATACATTCATTGAGATAAGTCCTCTCCTGAACGACCCATGTTCTAAACGGAGGATTGCTCTCAACTCGTACTTGAGACTGAAGCTGGCGAATCCACTATCGACGGACACCAGTAGACACCTCTAACTTGAAATGTTTCGTCAATCGCTCCAGACGCAAACTATCTTAATCCCGCTGATGCGATAAACTCATCTTTGTTTTCGTGCAACAGCAGTCATGGTTAAGCAGAAGACAATGTGGCTGTTACCAAAAGCCACAGCCTTCTTCGTTTGCGTACAAATAGATATTTCCTAACTCGATTCAGAGAGACAGCGCTTTGCAATCATCGAGCAGCATAGAGAAATTGAACTGTGGGGAGAAAAGGAAATCCGTCATTATCATCGGATTTAACGGCACGATGTATTCAGTAATAAGATATCAATCGATTGGATGACACACAAGATGGATTTCTGAATTTTCTGACACAATACATTTCTTTACTCAATACCGAACCTTACTCAGTCGAACATAAAATTCCGAAAACATGTTTGTCCACAAACGATTGATTTCCGATCGCTGTTGGATCTCCATTGCGCATCTGATTGATTATCGTTTGATCGATCGGACGA